CAACTGCGTGAAACACACAGTAGTATGAAACTTCAACTGCGTGAAATACACAGCAGTATGAAAATTCGGCTGCGTGAAACACACAAACTTCACGCATGCGTGGAGTGTATGGAGTGTACGGGAGTGATTCACGCAATGGTGCGAATAGTCACGGCCATATATTTTTCTACCGAATTTCCTAGCTTTTTTTTTTACATAAAATTGTTCCTTGCATCTCGGCAAATGGTGTCAGAGCGATGACTGACGTTCATGAATAGTCAAATGTGTTATCTACTCCGGTACTCGACTGACAATCTATCAGACTATTTATATTTCGTTAACCTTATTTCGACTATGTACATTCGACGTAACCAACTGTCGACTTCAGTACAGCGCGGATAGAAAAGCTGAAACGATTTAGTTGCTGTAAACGAATTGTGGTAATAGTTGAGAAGCCTTGTCAACAGAAACTAAATCCTTTTATATAAGTGTCGGTTTTTCTCATGTCAATCGGCGTGAGGCTTCTCAGAGTTTTCAAATGAGTCATGATTCATTTCAGTGCGGAGACTGTCATCAACTGGTTTTTTGTGGTGTGTCATATCGCGCTGGGAATCGATGATTCTGTCGGTGATAGATGACAATTGCCTGGATTCATGCTGGTGGACCTCGTTCGCAGTCAACTTGAGGGACGAGGATACATTGGAGGCCGTTATTGAGGGTCTGTTGGAGTCTGCCAGGGAGTGCTGAATCGGTAAGTTCATGATCACTGAATCACATCATTACTTTCGAGTGGAACTGCTCAATCGATTCAGAGTTGATGAATCCGTTATTACGATGTTGGCCAACAACAGATGACAGTCTTGAAGTCTGACAGTCTTCAAGCCTGCAATGTTTGACATTCGGAATGAAACGAGATGATGATAGTGAAACCATGTAAATGGATTTACAGAATCTGTGGATGTTGCCAGAATTAACCGCATTGGATCCAAATGTTCTGTCTTCGTTGAGGAGTTTTTCCTCCTCTTTCTTGTTTTTTACCGCGTGCGCCCATCCTGTGTCCACACAACCCCCGGATCCAATTTCCAAAAGTTAAACTTTTCGAAACAGGGACTGAGTAATGAGACGTGTGCCAACGTGAATTTCGAAGATTGAAAGAGAAAATTGGAGTTGGTGAAGTGTTGAAAAATAATACAGGGCATGATTGAGCTTCTTTGGATTATTGTTGAACCATGAGAAGGGGTTTATAGAATCTGCCGATGTAGTAAAAATGTAGAAGTTTGTGGAAATGGATATGACGTAGTTGCGATGTCGATTCCAATGAGAAATCAACGTGATTAAATAGATGATTTATTTGTTGATGAGATGAGTTGTCAGTGACTATTTGGTTACATTGATGTTCAGGTACAACATATGTAATTTAGAACACATCATTGATCAAAGTAGAAAATTCTCAATTGAATCGAGACTGTGAGGGTGGTTGGATAATCGTTTGGTAATCGTGAAGTGAAATGAAAAGATAGAGCGCTGAAGCCTGGATATGAGGGCGTCCTTGTGTGTGTCCTAATATTGTTCCTGATGCAAAGATAATTCTCATTCTCTGTGAGCAATTTATATTTCGGCTCGATGTCGAGTACTCTTGCAGTCACAAATGCAGTCATCACGTTCTATTCAAATATTTTTCTTTCCCTAATCCTTTATTGTGATGTTGGGTTACAATGCATGGTCGTCTTGATCATTCCGATGAACGCTAACAGGAGGATAAATACTTCCAATAGCTTCCACTTAGATAAACATCTCTCCAACGTCATCAATTTTTCCCACCACAACTGGAGACAAATTCTCAATTTCAATTTTTCCTTTCGGTGAATTATCCTCTTGTTGATATCTCGAACTTGCTACGAATAACCCAACATTAATGGCATATACTTCGATATAAAAACACCCACCGTCGTTCGATATCCGCAGGACATTTCGGTTTCACCGTAAAATGAATGCTCGTAAAACCACCGTGGATTTCAGATCGAAATTTACGGCAGCCACTTTGCGAAACTTTCATCATTCCGCGGCGTATATAACCCTCAACTCATTTTGAAGATCCGATGCTATTGGCAAACAGTTGAATCGTCCGGAAATGTAATCGTAGACAGTCATTGCCTACTTATTTACGCTCAATGAATGATGTGAAACGTCCGCAGTAGAACAGTCGTCGGGAATGCTGTCATATAATGCCCACACCGAGGAAGTCTCCTCGTTCACTTGGAAGACGAGTCTTTTCACGTAGTTTATTTGATACTCCTTGTAAAAGAAAAATACCAACAACACTCGAAATGACTTCCGATGTTACGCGGAGTGAAGGCAGTTTGATTTCACCTGAGGTACGGCTGGAAGATTTTGTCGACATGGGGTCGTAATCAGGAAATCGAGATGAGAAATCGCTGCTCTATCAGCTGCTGCGTCAAGATTAAGAGCCGATAACCGAGTTTCGTGTGTTTGTTTTCGATTTTGCGCCGTTGAGAATTCTCTGCTGAAATTTTCGGTATATTTGTTGGAAATTTTTATCGTGATTCTATATTCCTTTTTTCAATTAATTATTTATAATCATTCTCATTGAAAAAAGCAATACGACTGATGAGAATCATATATCCCAATTTATCAGCTGTTAAATTTTCATATCACAATAAATGATTTGCTCATGTTCTAATTCCTATGCTCACTGAATAAGATTTTAATCATAATTACAATTCAATTCCTTTTAAAACACACTTTAGGGTGTGAATTTCTGGAATTCAATGTTTGCTGATAGTGTGGTAAAAGTGCCCGTCCACACTGTTATCAATTTTTAGTTAGTCCACACGGTAATTCAATTAATCTGTTGTTCATCTCATCAATATAATTCCGTGCTTAGAATATTGTCATCTCGTGTTTTCAGCACCAAATCAAAAATTAAAACTTCATTTGGAATATTGAATCACAGCTTTTTTTTATTCATATCAGAAATTTCTTATTTGGATATTAACATTATCTGTTCAAAGTGAAAAAATTGATCATCATTTTCACTATATTGCATTCAGATTCTCCTATCCTTAACGTCAAAAATGTGAGATAAACTCATAATTCTAGCTATTAATTTTAATCAACTTTGTTCGAAGAAAACCTCAGTAAACGCAATATTAAGAAAGTAGAATTATTCTATTTTCCTCTGACCTAAATGATTTGGGCAATTATGATTCGTTTATTCATGTTTCATAGAATGGTATCAATTCTATTTTGTTCGATAGGCGAGCTTCATGAAAATTCGCCGCAAGACGATTGCACTCATGATTGAACCGCTTTACTTTCTCCATTCGCTCGAGATATCCGCCATGCTCGCGTTCTCATTTTCGATTCGAGATATTTCCCCAGCTTTCTTTTTTCATCTGTGAATAAAAAGATGGCAATTAAAACTGTCGTGCATTGTAAACCAACATTATGTTAGAGTATTAACTATTCTCTTTCTTCGGAATTCGATTTCTCCACGAATGCAAATGTAGATAAACTGTGGAACGTTTCAATCAAAATTCTCCGGTGTTTATTTTTCCAATACCAAAATATTGGAGCGAAGGGGAACAAATAATGTTGGGTCTTCGATATTCAACGAAATGAATCGATTTGTGGATTGTTCCGGGGCTCTTGCTTTAATTAATTGCCATTCAGTGGCTGCATACATGTATTGCGGTGAGAGACAGTCGCACAGGATGGAATTCCGCATTCTCCATAGTCGAGTGGGCAAAAGGAATACACAAGCATGTGGGGTTATTTTAATTCTATTACGGGATTGCGGGTAAAGGAGAGTATGCCGCGGAGTTAATTAAAAAGTAACGAGTGACATCGAGTGAGTTTTTCTGTGAAGTTGGAGGACTTTATCGTCATTATTAGAATTTCCAACATCACATCTTCCTTTGTCACCCTTGGACGTAGGATTACGAGAAATTTCTCACATTCAGGATTTTTCTCAATCAAATGGTCATTCGAAAACGACAAATTTTTCAGCCGAAAAATGATAGGTTCATTTCAAAAAATCTTTTGTTGTGTTGAATCAATTTTTCAACAGAGCTTATTTTTTCTCTCAGTTTGGAACAAAACGGATTATTTATTTATTTATAAACAGCAAATGTTTGAAAAAATAATAATTCTGTGGAAAATGTAGTTTTAAAGTGCTTAATCTATACGGAGAAAATTATTTGGTGAATTTCAACATCTAGATGTTGAAATTCACTAAATAGTTGTTGAAATTTACTAACTAGTTGTTCAAATTCACCAACTAGTTGTTGAAAAAAAAAGAATTATCAACCCATTACTAAATTTCGACAACTAGTTGTTGACATTCAACAACTAATTGTTGATATTCAACAACTAGTTGTTGAAGTTCACCAGCTAGTTGTTGAAATTCATCAACTAGTTGTTGGAGTTCATCAACTATTAGTTAAAGTCCACCAATTGGTTGTTGAAAAAAATGAATTATCAACCCATTATTAAATTTCCACAAGTGCTTGGTAATTCATTGTTTAGATACTTGAATATTCTTAATACTGTCGATCTCAAAGGGTCAGTAGGATAAAGAGATAGGCAATAGTTGATGCAGTTGTGATGGGGCGGAACTGTTGACCACTCGCCTGCCTCGGGGTTTCACGCGGTTGGCATCACACACAGTGTTTCATATATGTAACACGTGCATTTATATGTCCTATCGAGTGCATGTACACGTGTGCAGATAACTGGTATTCCTGTGTAGTTAACATTGGTGGTCGATGGCCTCGGTGAGGCCGTCTACTTATTCACCATTGATCCCATCTAATCATGCGACCCAGCCTTTGAAGACAAATCGCTGCCCTCAGGTTACTGTCTACCTTCTCAAAACAACTTTGAAACTAATGCCGATGGATTTATGGCCGCTCTATGCTAATGCGGTCAATGGCTCAGTCAGTGGTACTTAACCTTGAAGTTCAACTGGTTTTAGTGGTTTTGAGGGCGATGAAATCGCAATTACTCAGAATGTCACCGGATCCTTTGACGGGTCTTCCGTGAAACCAGAGAAAATTGTTGGTTTCCTGCTTCATTTATCGGCATTTTGATGAATTTATTATCTCGGGACTTGATAATTCCGCGTTGATTAATTCAATCGGAGTCAATGGCGCTTTAATCTCTGTGGGATAATTAATTGAGAATTAATGACATCGCTCAAAGTCAACTGCAGTCATGGAATCATGTTGCGTGATGCTGGAAGGCTTTTATCCAAGAAAAACAAACTTTATTTTGAGACTTATGATCTCTGTGGGGATATTCAAGTAGTGTGAGATTTATTTAAGGGAAATTACAAACTTGACAGAAGGAAATTAAATATCTTTCACAAAAATTAAATTTTTGTCGTTATCATCAGAAATATCCCTAGAAGAATTCGAACTGTTGGCAGGAAAAAATATAATCTATTGTCGACAATCAATTCATCTGAGAGAACTCCATAGGTTTATACCACAGAAAGAATACATTGACGAGGAAAGAATTTTTTTTTTCCAAAAAAACTTGTCCCCTCGAAATTATTTAGTTTGGCCAATAACACAGTTATCGGCAAGAAAATTGTAGTTTCCTCTTGAAATTATCATTTGCTCCATGGAAATTATAAGTGTTTATTGGACAAAGATATACACTACTCAATAACATTCACTTGATGAAACCGGAGCCTCATATAATTCTCTGTAGGACGGATTTATTTAC